CCCTTTAATCCCAGCACTTGGGAGGCAGAGGCAGGCAGATCTCTGTGAGTTTGAGGCCAGCTTGGTCTACATAGCAAGTTCCAGGCTAGTTATGGCTACAGGGAGACCCTGTCTCAAAAGAAAAAAAAAAAAAAAAAAAAAAAAAAAGGACATTTGCAGGAAAATGGATGGATCTAGATAGGTGACCCAGATCCAGAATGAAAACCCCACGTTCTCCCACTTATGCGGACCCTAGCCTAAAATGTATTTGTTAAACAGATGTAAGTGTGGGTATAGTATAACATTTGGAAAAGAGGTAAGGTCATATCAGATGATAAGGACAGAGTATAGGCAAAAGGACACATGGGTCATGAAAGAGGATTATTTTTTTTCTAGTTTCAACTTATAATTTTTCTTTGTGTGTGTGTGGTGGGAATGTGAATAAAAATGTGATTGAAGGTGCAAAACCCTTGGGGACACTTCACTGATTCAGAATGGCCATTCTAACTACACTGAAGTACACTGAAATGCATAGTTTGGGACTGAGCAAGTGTTTAAATGGTTTCCTTAAACTAGTTGTGTATTATTTTCATTTGTGACTTAATTAGAATAATGATTTTATTTTTTAAAAAATGAGTTTTAGCTTAATACAGTCAACTCTCAGTATCCACACAGGGAATTGGTTCAGAACCTCTATGGATACTGAAATCTGCAGACCCTCAGGAACCTCATAGGAAACGATCTATTTGCACAAAGTCTGCACACATCTTCCCACATACTTAGCATCTCTAGAGTATACAACACAAATGCTATGTAAATCATTGTTACACGTTTTAGAATAGTGACAAGGAAAAAGTCTGTATGTTGAGTACAGACACAATTTCTTGTAAAAAGTATTTCTCTAAAATTTGTATTTATTCCCTGTGTGTACATGCACACAACCCCAGCATGTATGTGTGTAGGTCAGAGGACAACTTGAGAGGGTGGGTTATCTCCTTCTACCATATGGGTCTGGGACATCAGGCTTTGAGGCAAGTGTCTTTACCTGCTGAGTCATCTCATCAGCCCATAAGAAAATATTTCTGATCTGGGGCTGGCTCAGTATGTGGATGTGGAAAAGATAAAGGAAAGAGATTAACTCTAAGGTAATATGGTTGGTTTTCATAAGAACCACAAAGCAAATATGAAATGGGAATTGCAGGCATTTTGACTAGCCATATCATCTCTGCTTAAGAGTATTAATAAGAGTATAACTGCCCAAGAGTTTTTTTTTATATACCAAGTTCTCTGTTGGCTCTTTAGCGCTCAAAATTTCAAACAGTAATTGAGTGTGCTAGTTAGTCTGTCAACTTGACATAACCTAGAATCACCTGAGAAGGGAGTCTCAATTGAGTAAGTGCCTAGCTCACACTGGTCTGTGGTTGTCTGTTGGGGACTGTCTTGACTGCTACTTGATTTAGCCCACTGTGAATAACACCATTCCTTAGGCAGGGGTTCCTGAATAGTATAAGAGTGGAGAAAGCTAGCAGAGTGCAAGCAAAGATTTGTGTATTTGTTCTCTCTCTGCCCTCGATTGTGGATGTCATTCTTTTGAGTTCCTCCCTTGATTTCCTTGCAGAAATGGAATTATAAACCAAATAAACCCTTTCCTCCCCTGGCTGCTGTTTGTCAGGGGACTTGTCACAACAACAGGAATGAAACTAGAACATTAAGAAGCCATACCAGCTTTGTGTGGTGGTGCATACCCTTTAATACCAGCACTCAGGAGGCAGAGGCAGGCAGAGCTCTGAGTTTGAGACCAGCCTCGTCTATATAGAGAATTCAAGGTGAGCCAGGGTTTTTTTTTTTTTTTTGAAAAAAAGAGCCAAGGCTGGGCGTGGTGGCACACACCTTTAATCCCAGCACTCAGGAGGCAGAGGCAGGTGGATCTTTGTGAGTTCGAGACCAGCCTGGTCTACATAGTGAGTTCCAGGACAGCTGGGGCTACAAGGAG